TATATTAATTTATATCTCTTAAGACATATGTTAATTACATAATTCCAATTTTTCATTTATCAAAATATTTATTACACAATTTTTAAATTATTTTTAAGAAAAACTGTCCCAGACGACTTCAAACTAAGTCGTCTGGACGACTTAGTTTAAAGTCGTCTGGGCAGACGACTTGCGAGGGCTAAAAACGTAAAAAAAAAAACTTTTTTTTTGTTTGTTCACAAGGGGTTGGTTGTAATTTCAACAGCCTTTTAAGTTACTTTTGCATTTGATTCAAGTTTGGATTTACTTTTGCATTTCAAATCAAGTTTTGAGTCATATTTGGCAATTTCCCCCCAAGAAAGAATACTATTTACTATCAGGGTTTGATGTGCTTTACTTTCTAAAAAATGTAAAATATGGAAAGACATATATAATGTGTTCCAAAAAGGAACATATATAATAGAAAGATAATAATATATTTCAAAAAACAAATTCCAGTCTACATTTTTTAATTGAAATAAGCCAAATCAACCACTGTTTAATCGATTATTCCAAACCACACGACAAAGCATTTTAAAACACACACATACAAAAAAAATCAAAGACAAAGATCAATGCAACTTCTTTTGGATAAAAATATCAATCCAAGTTCAACTGATTGAATATTGTTTCCCCAAGCAGCAAAAATTGTAGTTTAAGCATCGCAGTTGTAACAGGTACAAACTTTATTGAAACCACAGTCGCCGCGGACATATTTTTTAACTTCGGTGCAATAAGATTGGCAAATACCACCACCTTACGGTACATTGCAGGTTCCTGCCGGTGCTTCCTTGCTTGGTGTTCCCACACATTGTGCTTTTGATTTCTGTATGCCTGATTATAAATGCACACACAGATATATAGATTTTTACGTCAAATATTTATAAAATAATTTGATAAGAAAATCTTTTACAAAATTCAGAAAACTTAATGATTTTACAAAGTTTATCCATCCAATCTCTTGACTGAGAAAAAAAAAAGACAATACTTTTATCAGAAATTTACGTGCACATTTCAAGGTTTTTTCATATCACTTTCTTCAAAATAACTCAATCGGCCGAGCGGTGCGTATATCTAATCTAGCCATATTTTTTGAAATAACCACGGTTTAGTCACATAATTACTGTGACTAACTTACTTTCGGTGATCCAATTAGACACAACACTACCATTTCTGTGTTGACATAAAAATACAAAAATATAGCACGACGATACTAAAAAGACGAGGTTAGGTTACCAGCAACTTTTAACTTTTATTTTAGAGTGATTTAGTGAACTATCCATATTTGAAGCTCAAATTAGCAAAATGCCATTGATTGGACGCAAAGGACACTGACACAACCATTTGACAAGGAAATACCGAGAATGCCCTTTTTCTTTCCTCTCATTAACACGAAGTGTAAAAACATTTGTTAACATATAACACTTCTGTTAACGTTTACAATATATGTTAATAGCCAACACATTTATTACCGCGAAGCGTAAAAATAATTGTTAACAGTTAACAATTCTGTTAGCGTCTACAATATTTGTTAACAACGAACACATTTATTAACGCGAAGCGTAAAAATAATTGTTAACAACTAACACTTCTGTTAACATTTACAATATTTGTTAACCGCTAACACGATGTCGAAAACCCAGAAAATGATATCATCAAAAAATTGAGGATTCAAAGCCATTTATGAATAAAATAATGAAATTTAAAATTTAATTGTATATAGAATGATAGAGATTTGTAAAATAATTAGAGGTTTGAGAGAAAGAAAAAAAGGTCAAAAAATTGAGGATTCAAAGCCACTTATGAAAAAATAATGAAATTTAAAATTTAATTGTATATAGAATGATAGAGATTTGTAAAATAATTAGGGATTGAAGAGAAAAAAAAAAGGAGGAGATGTGAAAGAGAGGAGATAAAGTGTAGAAAAAGGCAAAATGATCCAAAAGAAAATGATTGTCACATCATGGGCAAATCTCTAATTATATGTACCAAATAAGACACTTTAGCCAATTATCTCTTTATTTTAAACCACGATTTTTTTGTTGTAAGTTCGTGGCTAGTTGTCTAGCACTGTATTTACGTGGCTAAATAGTAGCTATTCTATCTGTATTAGTTTTCATGGTTAAATCGAAGTTAATAGTAGTTTACGTGGCTACATATAACTACGATTTAACCATGACTTTTCTGAAATCGTGGTTAACTATGGTTGGACCGTAACTAAATTATATTTTTTTTTATTTTTGCCATCAATTTTCCATGGCAAATTCATATCTATGCCAAAAAAATGTACTAATAATAATATAATTTCTATTACCTGTGGAAATCAATAGAAAAACATCAAAAGAGAAACGATGCACATGTTCTTCGCCATGTTTTTTTTTTCTTTCTTTTGTTCTGGTACTTTTAAGTTTTTTCTTCTCTTGTCTCCACAAACTTACATGAGAATAATAGGTTCTATAAATTTATACTAAAATTCGTTGACTTTTGTTTTAGGTTTGATGGATAATGATAATGATAAATACTCTTATATGCTGGCCAGTAACTCAAGTATTCAAGCCTTGAAGGAGTATAATTTTATCAACTTTCGTGTGAGTTTTTTCTGTTTTTATTGTTTTTGGGAGTATGTATATGTTTAAGCCGTCAACGTAACGTGTCTATTAATTAATGAAGCATATTTGACAAACATACGCACAACTCTTCACGAATCCCATGCATGTGTTATGGTGATTGTATTGTATGTAAGAGATTTGATTAGGGTTGGACATTTTATCCGTTAAATTTGATTCGATTCATTATTCGTTTCGATTCGATCCGAAAATTCTGAATATTCGTAAACTTTCGAATCAAAGCAAATACTAAAAATTAATATCCGTTAAAGTCGAAGCAAATCACAAATATTAAAATTTTGGGAAGCGGGTATCCGATCCGATCCGGAAATATATAAATATATGTATATATTGATTATATTTAAAATTTTAAATGTATAAAATAAAATTATAAAATTATTATTCTAACACATGATTTTGAACAATTCTATTCACATTATTACTTATATAAATGTATTACATAAAAAAGAAAAACAATTATGACAATTATATTTTTTGTTCTTAACTTTTGTGTTATTATAATTGCAACTTAAACTTCAAAAATTACAAAATGTGTAAATTCACTAGTTTTTTAATTTTTATTTTATATATCACGCAAAAAAAATATTTTTGCAAAGCAAATTTATATCAAAATTTTAAGATTAGTTGTATTAATCAATACGGATTAGATATCCGTAAATATTCGCAAATATCCGCAAATATTTACTTATTTTTCGGATATCCGTTTTTCCGGATATCTGTATTTTTCCGAAGCAAAGCAAATACCAAAATTAGATATCCGTAACATTCGAAGAAAATCACAAATACCTTTGAAAAATCCGGATATCCGATCCGCGCCCACCCCTAGATTTGATATCTTGATTGCAAGAGATTTGGTTAAATCATTAACGTGATTACCAAAACATTATAGGCTAAATGGTGAGAGTAAGGGATAATATTATGAATTTCTTATCATTTTAAAAAATTACACCATTTATGAGATATATTTGTTACACAAACTCTTTGTCATTCCTTTTATTTTACAAAATTACTAGATTTTGACCCGTGCTTTAAAAATGCGGAATAAGTTTTTGGTTAATTTTTTTCCAATTTAGGAATTACTACATTTTTTTTTTAAAATTTGATATTTAAGTTTTCACATCTATAATTAAAAGTAATTTATATTTTTGTCTCATAATGCTAGACATTCAGGTTTTATTTCAGGTTTTTAGATTATTCAGTTTTTGAGTTATTTGGGTTGGATGTTTAGGACCCATTGAAATTTTTGGATCCTTTAGTTCGAGTAATGTTGAATCGGGTTTGCATTTTTATTTTTTCAAGTTATTCAATTGGGGTGTTTAGGACCCGAGTAAAAATCAGATGTATTCCGGAGTGGTTCAGTTCGAGTAATGTCGGATTCAGTTTGTATTTATTTTGTAAAACCCTAAATGAAACCGGATTAAAAATAGTTTAAGTCATGTTTAAAGTCATAAATCTCAAAAACCTTCGAAAAACCAAATTAATCCCAGAAATCCAAAAGGGTAATTTAGGTAATTAAGGTTTTGCATATTTTAATTTATAAATTATATTATGATAATTAATATTTTTATTATATTTCAAATATTTGAATACCTGTTTGTTTGGTTCTCGGTTTGGTTCTGGTTTTAGTTTTCGGGTTTGAGAAATAGTAACTATTTGGATTTTTCAAAATTTTGGTCCAGTTTTTTTTTGGGAGAATTTCAATTATACCATTTTGGTGATACCACTTTTTATGTTTACCATCAACAAAGGAACATTTTCAAAAATGCACATTTATTAAAGGATAAAAGACTCTTATATCCTTGTTCTTTATATATATACATAAAATAAATATTAAATAAAATATTAACTCTAAACCCTAAAAAATTCTAAACTCTAAACCCTAAAAAGTAAACCCTAAACTCTAAAAATTAACCCTTAACCCTAAAATATCAATTCTAAACCTCAAATCCTAAACTCTAAACCCTAAAAAGTAAACCCTAAACCCTAAAAAATCAACACTAAACCCTAAACTATCAATCCTAAACCCAAAACCCTAAACTCTAAATTCTAATAGTATTTTGAGTATTAAAATTTTAATGGTAAAGTTGGTTAGTGTAAAGTTGAAAAGTGGTATCTTGAAAGTGTTATTTCTGGCAATTTCCCTTTTTTTTTTCGTTTAGGTTCCAGTTTGATTTTTTGGATTTGGATAGTATGTTCAAGACTAACTTTCTCATTAGTTATTTTATCTGTGTTTTAGTATCTATTTTACTAAAAATATTTTTTCTTAATTTTAAGGGAAAATTGCCAAATATGACTCAAAACTTGATTTGAAATGCAAAAGTAAACCCAAACTTGAATCAAATGCAAAAGTAACTTAAATGGCTGATGAAATTACAAACAACCCCTTGTGAACAAACAAAAAAGAGTTTTTTTTTACGTTTCTAGCCCTCGCAAGTCGTCTGGGACAGTTTTTCTTAAAAATAATTTAAAAATTGTGTAATAAATATTTGGATAAATGAAAAATTGGAATTATGTAATTAACATATGTCTTAAGAGATATAAATTAATATATAACAAAAGTCAGTTGTTTTCAGCATAGATGAGTGAAAGTAGTGAGTCATGATATTCTTTAGTTTAGGTTTCACCAACATATGTTGTAGT